CCGTCTATCCACCCCCAGCAACCCCCATCCATCCACCCACCTCTATCCACCCCCAGCCACCCCCATCCATCCACCCACCTCTATCCACCCCCAGCCACCCCTATCCATCCACCCCCTCTATCCACCCCCATCCACCCCATCCATCCACCCCCCTCTATCCATCCCCAGCCACCCCCATCCAGCCACCCCCATGTCCATCCATCTGTAGCTGCCCCTTCTGGGGACTGGACAGTGCGGATGGACAGATGCGGGGAGGGCGCAATGCCTGAGAGGCCCAGGCCCTGGGGGGGGGGATTTACCCTGGGGGAGGCCTGGGGGGCCCAGCCCAGCTCTGCCCATCCCCCGCTGTGGCGGCGCCCCTGCCCCCTCAGCGGGGTGGGGGCAGGGGGGTGCCCCATGGGAGCCCCCACCTCAGGGGTATTTCTCCAAGGAGGAAGCGAAGCAGGAAAATACCTGGGTCTGCGGCCGGCTGGGGTTCCTCAGACACTGCACACAGCCATGGGGGGGAGGTTAAGGGCAGGTATGGAGGAGGGGGAGGGGAGGGAAGATTGGGGGACGGGGGAGGAGAGATCAGGGGTGGGGGGAGCGAGCGCGGGAGAGAAATGGAGAGGCGGTTAAACCAAGGCAGCTCGGGTGGGGCCCGTTAAATCCGGTTACTCGTTAGTGGGGGGGAACTGCCCCCTCTACCCCCCCTTTCAATGTCCCTGCCCATCTCCCTCTCCCACCCTGGTGAATCACAATGTGCCCCCCCAACATGTGCGGTGGGGGCTGGGATATGAGGAGAGAGGGACAGTGATGCAGTGGGGGGGTGAGGGGAGAAGGACCCTGCAGTGATGCAGTGGGGGCAGTGATGCAGTGGGGGGACAGAGATGCAGTGGGTTTCTGTGGGGGAAGGGCCCTGCAGTGGGGGAGGGGGGACCATGCAGTGATGGGGAGGGGAAGGGTTCTGCAGTGATGCAATGGGTGGCTGTGGGGAAGGGCCCTGCAGTGATGCAGTGGGGGGGGACCCTGCAGTGATGCAGTGGGGGGAACAGAGATGCAGTGGGTGGCTATGGGGGAAGGGCCCTGCAGTGATGCAGTGTGGGAATGGGGGAAGGGCCCTGCGGTGATGCAGTGGGGGGAGGAGGGAAGGGCCCTGCGGTGATGCAGTGGGGGGAAGGAGGAAGGGCACTGCAGTGATGCAGTGTGGGAGTGTCCCAGGTCAGGTACACACCTGACTCTAACACGGGCATCCTCCATGCTGCCCCCACCCTGGCTGATGCCCCCATGGCCGCCCCACCCTCCGCCCCCAGGGGAGGAAAAAACCCTTCAGCCGACAAACTAGAAAGGAGGAAGCCTGTGAAGAGAAAACGTAACATGGACGAGAAAGCAAACGTGATGGGAACAGAACCCCGGAGTCCTGGCTCCCAGCCCCCCCTGCTCTACCCACTAGATCCCACTTCCCTCCCAGAGCCGGGGAGAGAGCCCAGGAGTCCTGGCCCCCAGCCGCCGCCCCCGCCCCATTCTACCCCTAGCCCCCACTCCCATCAAGTTGCTTCTTCCTGATTCCAGCCAGGCTGTGAGGTCTCTGCTCCTGGTGACCTAGAGGAAAGAGGGGGATCCCCGTGGCACGGGGGAGGGCAGGTGTGTGCAGCCGTCTCACCTTCCTCCTCCTCGGCCTGCTCAGCCAGTTCCTCTTCTTCAGAGAGAGAGAAAGAAAGAGAGCGAGGGGTTAGTGCTGGACTGCGCGTTCCCGGGGTCCCATCTCAGGGGGCAGATTGCAAGAGTCGGGGGGGGTGTCTGGGGGGAAGGTTTGGGGGGGGTGTAATGCTGGGCCACAGAAGATTAAACAAATTAGCAGGCTGGGTGACCTGGAAGCAACCCTTGAGGATGTTTCAAAAGGGCACAGCCACGGTGAACAAGGCCATTCCTGGTAGACAGGTATCAGAGCCGTGTTGAGGCGCCTCGAGCCTTTAACCCGTTTGCCAGCACTGTTAGAGACTCAAAGAGCAGCTGCTAAATGTGTCTCCGTTTACCACAAGCTATCGAATTAGCTGGTAGACGCTGCATCCATCCCGTTCCTGACCCCTAATGCTCCACCGCTGGCTTCTAGCGACTTGGAGAGCAAATCTTATCTGCCAGATGGGACGTGTGATGTAGTAAGGCCTTGGTCCTCATCTGTCCTCGAAACTCGCAGCTCACCCTTTGGGAACCTTGTCTTTTATTCTTCCTAAGCAGTCTCAGGTTTCGGGATTGAGGATTGGCCCTGAGTGTGTGTTTGGTGGGGGGTAGGGGAAAGAGCTGAAATATTCATTGACCGGGAAGCGATTGTATCTCATCCTTTGGGATTAGAAAGAACCTCACCCAGGGCGAAATGGGGTTTTGAATAACCTTTCACTACATTCGACTGGGCTGACTGGATGGGAACCTAAAGGGGACGGCGTTCGGCTTCGGGTTAACCGGCCTGGTGCCGCAGAAGCTGGTTTGTTACTGGCTTGGTCAACCTGATTGTAAACCACCCATTTTTTGGTGGGGGGATCAGCTGCCTTGGTTCTTGCAGTCTCCCTGAGGGTCGCCTTCTCAGTGCAGCCCATCCAGGCAACCGGTCACAGGGGGGAAGGCTTTTTTTGGGGGGGTGGGGGGAACCAGGCCTTGCAGGGTCTCCCCAAGGCTGTGATAGCCCCGGCCAAGAAGCCGGTGGCTCCGTCCCTTCCCCTGCAGCCACCTCCTCTGGGGGGAAAAGACAGATGGTCAGAGACAGATGTGGGGTTGGGGGAGCTGGGACCCTCCACCCCGCCTCCCTTCATCCATCCCCCTTCCCCTTCATCCATCACCCCACCCCACACCCTTCCCTCTCCCCCTCATGCTAGGGCCAGACCTAGAGCATATTTGACTTCCGACACAAATTTGATGATTTAAAGGGGAACGGATCCCCCACCCCACCCCACCTCTGATTCCATTCAGAAGAGCAGTTAAGTCTGTGAAAGAAGAAGGATTCCTGGCCAAGCAGACTTGCCCTTTAAGAAGGCTGGTCCTACAAATACTTGTCTGCAGACAGAAATTGAAACGTTAAAGGGAAGTTGGGGGTGGGGCATAGGGAAGCCACTTTGCCATCCTGTTTTAGGGGCTGATAAATCTGCAGAGCCCACAAAAGACTATGTTGGAAGGTGACTTTCCCTTTAAGAGGGCGGGCCCTACCAATATTTGTCTGCAGACAGAAATTTAAAAATTAAAGGGGAGTTGGAGGGTGATTCTAATAATGATGCCCCTAAATCCAGCCCCTCCCAAGGTAGCAGTGGGGCAGCCATAAGGTCAAATAACCAAAAAATAGAGCAATGATTAATAATATCCATACGAAACAGCCTTTAAGGGAAAGTAGCAGGCTGAACGGTGTTGATATTTATTAATAATTTCTGATGGATAGTAATTATTACCCTTCAGTCATTAAATACTAAAATCTGTATGTAGTACATTAGTAAGAATTTATAAGTGATTATGAACACCCATTAGTAAACATTTCAATATAAAATATCTATATAAATTAATAATTTGTATTGATTAGCCATCTGTTGTTAAATATTTGAATATAAAATATGCAAAGAAATGATTAACCAATTATTATTTATAATTATTAACCACCAGTTATTGATATTAACCATTATATATCATTAACCACCTGTCACTATCTAAGTAAGCATTAAAATTGTATATAACGATTAAATTACCAACCATTATTGATAATACATCTCTACCTCGATAGAATGCTGTCCTCGGGAGCCAAAAAATCTTACCGCGTTATAGGTGAAATCGTGTTATATCAAACTTGCTTTGATCCACCGGAGTGCGCAGCCCCCCCCCCCACCGAGCACTGCTTTACCGCGTTATATGCAAATTTGTGTTATATCGGGTCGCGTTATATCGGGGTAGAGGTGTAATTCTAACCTGCTATCATTAAATATTTTGAATATTAAAATATTTACCTAATAATTATACTCTCTGTTATTGTTCGTAATTATTAGCCAGAATAAATATTACAATCTAAACAGGCTAAGTAAATGATTAACTATTTAGTATTGGAAATCGTTATGAGCCACCTGTCATTGATTATTTGTCTGTTAACGCAACTACACAATGGTGAAGTTACTAACCATTATTTCATCCCTGATAGGCTATTAACGGGTTATTAACCACACTAGATTGTGCCGATTGCCCTATTAGGTAAGAAGAGGGTCCTATCGTGGGACAAATCCCTCTATGTCCATTGTAACCCGACCCGATTATCCGGGTTGGCCTAAGAACAAATGGGGGTGAAGCGACTGAGAAGGGAAACTCCTGGCCTGACCCAGCCGAGGGGGTCTGGGCCTCTTCCCTGGCCACCCGTCCCCCCAGGGGCTCGGACGACTCCTGCCCCAGACTGACCCACTGGGGTCTTCTCCTCCTCTGTCATTCCCAGCGGAGCACCCCAGTCATTAATAATGGCTAGTTAACAGCGACCAAGGATTAACTGATTGTGGCGGCGGAAGGGGGGAAGCGTCACGTACCTTCATGCTGCTCCCTGGGGAGAAAAGGAGAGAGAGAGAGAAGCTTGTTGCATATTAGTGTAGCCAGCACCTGGCCTAGGTCCTGACCCATCCAGGGCTGCTGTGTGCCAGGATCCCCCTGCCTTCCCAGGGATAAGATCCATGGGGCAGCCCAACTTAATTCAGTTCCAGGGCAGGGACTGGCTGGCTCAGGGGGGGCAGGGAATGGGGCAAGGGGCCTGTCCCCTCTAGGGGGCGCTGCCTCCCATCCGACCCCAGGGCAGGGGACTGGCTGGCTCAGGGGGGCAGGGAATGGGGCACGGGGCCTTTCCCTTCTAGGAGACACTGGCTCCCATCCAGCCCCAGGACGAGGACTGGCTGGTTTTGGGGGGGGTTACTTACTCCTCGTACTCCACCTCTTCTGCGTCAGACATGATGGTGGCTGATGGGGTTCACCTGGGGGGGCAGAAATAGACACAGATCAGCACTTCGGTGGTGGGGGGAGTTTGGGGGGGTAAGATTTCAGGGCTGGGCTAGCAGGGGGCTGCGGGTCGGGAGTGAGGGGCACCAGCAGGGCTGGGGGAGCCCAGGGCTGGGCTAGCAGGGGGCTGCGGGTCGGGAGTGAGGGGCACTGGGAGGGCTGGGAAGGGTAGGGCTGGGCTAGGCAGGGGCTGCGGGTCGGGAGTGAGGGGCACTGGCAGGGCTGGGGGGGGCAGGGCTGGGCTGGCAGGGGATGCGGGTCAGGAGTGAGGGGCACCGGCAGAGCTGTGGGGGTGCAGGGCTGGGCTAGCAGGGGCTGTGAGTTGGGACTGAGGGGCACGGCAGGGCTGGGCTAGCAGGGGCTGTGAGTCGGGAGTGAGGGGCGCTGGGGGGCTGACTGAATACGTGGGGTTGAGAACAGGAACTTTAATACTGTGTTGAATGGATCAGCCATTAACACCATAAAGCCCCCCCACCTCCCCGCACACGGGCGCTGTTGGGTCCATCCACCCCCACTGCCCCACCTGGGCATAGTGGTGAGATTCCCTGGGGAGCAGAGGGGGGGGGGTCTTCCTGGGGTGGGGGTCAGGAGGTGGGAATGGGCTGAGCGGGAGAAGGGCTGCTCAGACCCAAGGATTGTCCCCACCTCGGGGGAGGTGATCAGTGGGTGGAGCTGCGGGGGCTCCCCAGTATGCCCCCATACGGGTAAACCACAGACCCATCAGCCACCCCCCCCCATCCGTCCCCCCATGTCCCTGTCCTTCCCCAACCCATCCATCCATCCTCACACATCTCTGTCCCTCCCACGCATCCCCCCAATTCATCCACCCCACAAACCCTCCCCAAGGGAGTCTGGGCAGCACCACAGGGCCCCGGTCTCTCGGAGGGGTCTGGGCGGTGCCCTGTGCGACGTGGCCCCAGTCTCAGTTGGGGGGGGTCTGGGCGGTGCCCGGTGCGACGTGGCCCCGGGCTCGGTCGGGGGTGTGTGGGCGGCGCACTGTAGAATGAATGCCCCATGCCAACATTAACTAACAGTGATGTGCAGTGGGACGGTGTGAGGCCCTGCCTGTCACTCTGATGCCCAGCGAGCTGTGCGGAAAAACACAGTCCCCTGCGCTTGCAGTTAAAGGGCCAATGCTCACACTGCCCCCCACACACACTGGGTCACAAGAGTAGCTCCCTGGAGCCACAGCTACTGCAGCTCGGTGCCCCGGTGTGACATGAGTGTGATGGGGCTCAGACCTGCCCCCCCACCAGCAACGAGGCCAGAGACTGGGGGAAGGGGGGCTGTGCCACTGCTCCAGAGCCCCATGGAAGATTGTGGGGAGCTGCAAACCCGCCCGTGCAGAACGACCAGAGTTGGGGGGGGGTCAGTTCTCTCTCTCTCTCTCTCTCTCTCTCACACACACACACACACACACACAGAGAGAGACAGACAGACAGACAGCGCGCAAATCCGCTTGCCTGTCTTTTTGGTAGCCACGGTCACAGCCCTGACACCGCTGTTACAAAAAGCCACATGCCCCTCTTTCCTGACACATACGGTCGCTACCGGCTTGCGGCATATGCAAATATGTGCCGCGGGGCATTGTGGGAGGACAGAACGGGGCCGGTAATGCGCAGCCTTTTGCCATCCGGGGCCCGACCGAAGCCCCGCGGGGCGAGGTGAGGGGCAGGACCAGCGAGAGGGGGTTTTCCCCGGGGGAGGGGGGAGTGGGATTGGGCCGCCCACCCTGAGCTATAGAGCCGTGGCCGGGCGTTGGGTCCCGGCGGCGGGGCGCACTCTGTATCGTCAGTGAGGTACATCCTTACCTGTTCCCCCGTTGGGGGGCAGTACATGATGATTGGAGAGCGTATGAGACATGATTACAGTCTCTGCGGCCGTGGTCTGCAACGCCGCGGCTCGCTCCTGTCTGAACCTCACTGGCGGGCCCTGCTATGCAGCGTGGGAGGGGTTGCTGGGACGGGGACCCGCTGGGGTTCTCCGAGCGGCTCGCGGGGTTTATTTAGTGTGTTTGTTAAAAGGGGTTATATTGTGATCCTAGATTGTCACTGAAGTGCTGAGTAACCAGGCATGCAGCCTGTTTTTCTGCAGATGTAACCTAACAGACACTATCTGTACCTTTCCAATAGCGGGGGCAAGGCTGTAATGTTACAGTCACAATTGATTCCTTTGCAATAAATTAGTCATAATCTATTCCTTTGCAATAGTGGGGGGGACAACGCTGTAACGCGTTACACTCACAACCTATCTCATTGCATTAACATTACAATCACAGTCTATCCCAGTGCAAACGTTATAACGTAACAGTCACGATCTAGCCCCCTGCCGTAGAGGGGGACCACGTTACAGTCACCCTCTGTCACTCGCAATAGAGGTGAATGACATTAGACGCACATTTGCAGCATCAGCATAAGCCACCGGAGACGTGAATAACACGACAGGCGTGTTTGCAGCGTTGGTGTCGCCCTGTTGGTCCCACCACACCAGGGAGACGAGGGGGGTAAAAAGAAGGGGGGACTGTTTGGCCTGCAAAAGAGACGATGGACGGAGTGGGTAGGAGATCGATAAGTGTTCTTCACCCCTTTGCACAACCCCTGAGCAGCTAGGGGTCACCTGCTGACCCGGCCGTGCGGCGGTTGAAAAACCAAGCACACGGGTTAACCTGCGGAACTCCTTGCCACTGGATGTGGGCGAAAGCCAGAAGCCACAGGTCCAGCTGCTGGCTATGAGCCAAGGCAGCCAGGGACGCAGCCCCGCGCTCCGGCTGTCCCTGGGGCCCCTGGCTCTGAGCCCAACCCCCTCAACGCCCTGGTGCCAGAGTGAGGGGCTCCAGGGGGGTGGGACCAGCTCCATCCTCGCTGCTCTGATTGGCTGGGAGTTTGCAACAGCTCTTCCCTGGGATTGGCTGGAGCCAGCCCGTTCTCTTGCTTGTGATTGGCTGGGCCTTGCCCTCTCTCCCCCTTTCCTCTGATTGTCCGGGTGCTACAACAGTTCTTCCCTGTGATTGGCCGGCTCCTTCCTCTTTTTCTTGCTCCCCTACGATGACATCTCTTCCCTCTCATTGGCTGACAGAGGTGCATCTCATCACCCCTGATTGGCTGGGCACCGCCCCTGCGCCCCCTGCACTAGCTGACTGCCCTCCCCCCTCCCGGGATTGGGTGGGCTCTGCCTCTTCTTCTCTCGTGATTGGCTGGGCGCCGCGCTCTGTTCCCGGGC